CATTTTTCCTTTTATTGGTATCTGTAACAATTTTGTATTACATATAGGCACTGTGTATGACACTGCAGGAACTCTACATACAGTTCACTTTCCCTCAAGAGTGCTAATTTGTTCTACAAATAGAACAATCTTGATTTTGTGGAGCTGATGTTTGCTTTCACAGAAGCAATAGTGGAACCTACGGAATTTTGCTTTTCTCATTAATCTTACAGAGTGAATTACTTAGTCCTATGAAACATTCTTTAACTCATAGTGTTAAGTATTCAATCTTTCAATGTAAAACCTGAGGTGTTCAGAGTTTCAATGGGATTCTCTACCCCGAAGACTGTTTGCTCAGCCTTCCAAATGTTGCATTCAGCCATGTTCCATTGGCCATGTCAAATTCTCCCCTGAACATGCGTCTCTCATCTCAAGATCTGAAGGAATTCATACAAATTGTAGAACATGGCTTTCCTCCATCCCCATAGATCCTTCTTTGCTACTATTCCCTCTCTCAATTTCTACCTATGTCACAGCTCTAAATGTAATCCTGACAAAACTGAAGTCAATGATACTGTGACTTTATGGCTGTGTAGAATCCAAGAAAACTTGTGGCATGTAGACTGAGAAGGTCCTCACTTCTTCCTGAGAATGCTTTTGGTCTAAAATTTTGCCGACTTTTTTGAGTAATTTGAAATTTTTCCCTCACCTACTAACCAACATATATATAGGTTCCAAGTTAGCCCTTCTGTGGTCATTACTTTTTCTTAACTGGGTGAAAATGGCTTGCTGTTATGTCTCAGAGAGGGAAGAAAAAGGAGAGAAAGATAATAGGGATGTTTTACAACACTGGAAAATAATTATCAGCAGCTTTTTACACTCTTTCCTTCCAGGGACACAGCCTCTGTTCAGAAATGGTCTTATTTCACACTGGCATTTATTTGAATACAGATAGCTTTATCAGCAGCTACAAAGCCAAAGGCCTTGACTTTCTCTTTTCCACCAAGATCTACCTTTCAAATATGTGTCAGACTGAACCATCCCCCAAAGGGGAGGGGCATTTCTGTAAAAGTTCTTCCTCAGAACTTATCTTCCTCTCCTCTACTAGTAGAAGCATAGAAACAGAATCCTCCTCCCTGTCCCATGAATATTCCTTACTTTGTTATAGTTCAAAAAAGGCTCAACTAGCCTCCAAAATTGGGGGAGTGTAACAGTGATATCTGCACTGCGATGAAAACCCAAACAGGCATGCATATATATATGTGTGTATATTCTGTCAAGGAAACAAAGCACTCAATTTAGAAATAAGGCAAAACGATTGTGTCCTTTCAGTTCAACGCAGGAACATTATCTAACAAGCCCACCTAGGAGTCATCTTACTCTCCATAAATTATTTAACTTTGTTTTACCTACTATTTATAATTGATTAGGGCCCAGATGCCGAGTTAGATGTTTGTTTTAGAACACTAACAAGTTTATCTCCACTTTTTTTTTTTTTGGTACCGGGAATCGAATTTGGGACCTTGCACTTGCGAGGCAGGCGCCAGAAGAACACTAACAAGTTTAAATTAATGTTTCTTGTTGAAGGGACACAGTAAACACTATGACTTTACTATTCTGTAGAGAATATAAGTTTTTATATATAGCCTAGGGATGCTATTCCAGAGCTTCTCTTTCTAATGACTACTATAACTAGTATCAATACACTACCACTAATTTTGCTACCCATGGTTCTCTCTTTAATCAGTAACTGCATTATTTCTTCAGAATTATGTCTAACTTCTTGAAACTATGTTGACAAATCCACTTTGTTTTGTTGTTAATTTTAATGAGTTCAGAGATAAGAATACAAGGGCTGGGGATTTAGCTCAATGGCACCACACCTACCTCACTCAAGGTCTTGAGTTCAATCTCCAGTACAAAAAAAAAAAAGAAGAATACAGAACTATAAACAACACAAAAAAACTCAGACACAAGTTTTAAGTCACAGTCTTTGAAATGTATTTTTTTAAATAATAAAAAAGAGTAGTAAATACTTTTGGGGGGAAAAGTGAACAATAAAATGGAGAACTGACTGATTAAATGTGAGAGTGAAAGCTGGGTGTGTTGGCACACACTTGCAATCCCAGTGACTTGGAGGGTGAGGCAGTAGCACCACCAAGTTTGAGGCCAGCCTAGGCATCTTAGCAAGATTCTGTCTCAAAATAAAAAATACAAGAACCGGAGATGTAGTAAGAGCATCCCTGATCAATCTCCAATATTACAAAAGGGAGAGGAAAATTGAGCATGAAAAATTTAATTACCCTCTGCCAACTGTGACCTACATTTTTTCTTTCTTTCAGTTTTTTCAGACAGGATCTCACTCTGTAGTTCTGGCTGGTCTTAAACTCACTATGTGGCCCAGTCTGGCTGTGACAGCTCCCGGCAATCCTGCTACCTCAACCTCCAGAGTGCTGGGATTACAGGCATGTGCCACCACGCCTGGCAGTGACCTAAGATTTTTAGGGGCAAAAGTGAGGAGACAAGAGACTTTCCTTTTAAAAAGATGAGTAACAAAAAGGCTAACTTCCTACAAAGAAAACCTTAGCCTGACAAACGATACATTAGGTAGATACACAGCTTCACAAATATTTGGCAATGAAAAAAATGGCAAAGTAACTTTAACTTAATTACTTTTAAGAAATCTATGCCCTGCAGGCTATTTCACTAATACAATACAACAAAAATGTAATGTCTTTTGTCTCCTCTAATGGATTCTGAAGGTTTTCCAGAAAGTATGTATTTATTGATAATTCACAAGAAAGTGGGGGAGGGAGGCTTAATTTCCCCCTTGAAAACAAGTGACAATTTATTTTATTTGTTCCAGAAAGTATTCTACTGTATAACATAAAAACTACTGTGGGTCAACACAAGAGGAAGGTGGTCTTAAAATCTTAAAAATCTAAGACATGTCCGTAACATACACACGAATGGGAATTAGGGGTAGGGAAAGGGACAAGTCCCTGTGGAACATGTGTATGGCTACGTGTGAATGTGTACAAATTAATGAGAATCACTGTGGCTATTTTTTCTTAAACAATGAGAATCAACATAATGAGACTACTGGGCCGAGGATTTAGCTCAGTGGTGCTGCCGAATGCCTCAAAAATACAAGGTCCCGAGTTCGATCCCTGGTACCAAAAAAAAAAAAAAAAAAAAAAAACGTGTCCTGGCAATATAATGAGACTATTATTCCTTATTCCTTAGAAATACTGAGCTGGGTGAAAATATGACTATAAGAGATCACCTGCCCCAAATTCTAGAATCTTTACATCCAATACATAAATAATATATCTTCATAAAGAACTTACTCCCAATCTTATATACCTCAAGTTTCTGGGCATTTCACACTACCAACTGATCTTCCAATTTACCTAAGTTTTCCTGTCTCGCTTAACAATTTTCATCCTGACTAGAGCAATCACTAAAGTTTTATCATTAAAAAAAATTCTGTTGAGGGCTGGGGATGTAGCTCAGCACCACAGCACCTGCCTGGAAAGCGCAAGGGTCCTGAGTTAGATCCCTAATACCAAAAAAAAAAAAAATCTGTTGGTAATGTATAATCAACTAACATTATGGAAAGAACAGTGGCAATATAGACCTGAATAATGGCAAAATTTGGCATTCTGCTCTTTAATTCAGAACCACCTTTGAGTTCAGAATCACTTTAATGTCATTGTTTTTATCTGTAGTACAGTGGTTGGCATTCAAAACTAGGTACAAGACTTTTGAGGATACAAACATCTTGTACAGAAGTATGTTAGTTTCTTACTGTATCATAGGAGTTTCTGCTAACAATGATAAAAATAAAAGCTAACAAGCTTTGTTGTTTTGCAGATACAAGGAGAACAGGTAGTTTAACTCACAACTTAAAAGAACCAGACTGCTCAGTAACCTTCTAGAAAGCATAATCAAAATTAAAAACCTACTGTCACGGAACTATGGAATTTCTAACTAAGTCACAGAGACTTACATCAAGAAGCATTAATATTCATAGGGATGGGGATATAGCTCAGTGGTAGAGTGCTTGCTTTTATCCTACATTACCAACAAACTATCAGCACTAAAAGAAAGGAAGGTAGGTTAATATTCATAAAATCCAGTAGGGAAAATAAAAAACTGACAGAAAGGAGTACTCTTAGAATTCAGAAAGGAAAAATTATAATGTTGAGAAAAATAGAAAAAGGGAAGGAATTATAGAAGAGGGAGATTTGAACTAGATTCTAAGGATACAGAAGATTATGGACAAGTTTATCTTTATTATAAAATAAGAGGGAAGGCCGGAGATGTAGCTCAGTGGGGCACCAAGCCTGCCTGGCAAGCACAAGGTCCTAAATTCCAGTGGGGGGGGGGGGGGGAAGAAAACAAGAACAAATCGCTCACTGAGTATTTTCAACCCTCCCCCCTTGAAAGTTTATCTGTAGAGCAGTATTTTATGGAAAGGGTTATATATATATTATGGTGGTCCAGAAAGGTTACTACAATTTTCAAAAGTACCCAGGATCCTGATTTCAAATAATATTCTTTAATTTCATAATTGTTCTGCCTATGGTCACTTAAGGATTACAAGTTACTTTTTCTTTTTTTTTTTTTGGTACCGGGGATCGAACTCATGTCCTTGCGCTTGCACAGCAGGCAGCGTAACCACTGAGCTAAATCCCCGGCCCAAATTATTTAACTTTCTTTGTGGTACTGGGGATCGAACTCAGGTCCTTGCTCTTTCGAGGCAGGCAGCAGAACCACTGAGCTAAATCCCGGGCACAAGTTACTTTTTCAATGCTAAGGTCAACTCCACAGCTGTAAGAGGGGCCCTTATGCTGCCCTATTCAGGAATTAAGATCTTGAAATGTCAAAAGGGATAAAAGGGGACACAGTTCCCTTTCTTCAGCCAATGCAAGAATTCTAGTTGCAGAGGATAAACGGTGCCAAAGCTACTCCCTGAATTCTCACTCATTTCCCCTTTTTCTAACTTTTATGCTTACCAATTTATCAGTCCCATGATCTGTCTTCACCTCAGAACCAAGTGGAAGCAATGAGTCTGTTGTATGCTCTGGAGGAGATGCCTCCCCAAGAACTATCAATCCCTGTGGAGCAGACAGGAGAGAAAAAAAAAAAAAAAAAAAGGTATAAGTGGTGTAAATTACAAATTGAATTTAGGATTTAATCTCAAAAGGGTTGGAGTTATAGAGTCGGTTTACCAGAGGCCTTTACCCTTATCCTGTTTTAAAAGCAAACTACATCAACAGCAACTTTGGTTTTTAAGAGTTATTTCAGCATAAACCTAGTAATAGCAGATTATTCAGTAAACGACATAAGACTCAGACCAAGGCTTCTCCTGTCTTTCGCTTGAATACTATGATCTACATTCCTTGTCAGCCATTTACCTTTTATTCAGCTCCCAAATCTTGGGTCTTTATCAGATTATGGTACATATTTTATAGTATGTTATACTGTGATACCAACAAAGTACTGAATTATAACTAGCAATACGGTTTTTATACTTAAGTTGATTACAAATGGGGCTAAAAGTTTACTGAACTAAATGCGCTACCTTTGTAAAAGATGCATTCAACCAACTATATCTGAGCAAAGAAAACAAAGGAATGAAAAAAAGATGAAATAGTCTTCATAATTAGAAACCAAAAAAAACTGCCCCAAAGATACCTATTTCTCATAAGCATAAATGATACTTCAGATTAAGTTCTTGCTTCACAATTTCAAATTCAGATCTTATATTCACACCAGGAAATAAGGAGATCAAATCAGATTAGGGAACTCCTAATGAAAATCTGTATCAGAATCACCTGGACGATATTATCAAACTACACCTGCCCAATTCCAACACCAAATCTACTAAGAATCTTGGGGCATGGAGCCAGGCATTTTGTTTTGTCATTTTTTTGTTTGAGACAAGGTCTCACTTTGTAGTGCAGGGGGGCCTTGAACACACAGTCATCTTCCTGCTTCATTTTCCTGAGTGCTGGGATTACAGGTGCACACCTCACCTAGCTAGGTATTCTACATTTTAAAAAAGCTCTTTCAATAAATCCTAATGTAAACTCTAAGTAGAAAATAATCTGATTTGATAAAAACGTGGAAACAAACTTTAGGGTTATCTAGGGGAAGAGCCAATGTGAAAATTTCAAGGCTAGAAGAAGCCCAATGATCTGAAGAACTGTAAGGAACTGGTGTGGCTGGAGTAAACTGAGTGGAATTAGTGGGAACTAAAGTCAGGAAGGTAAGGCAAAGGGGGTTCTTACACGTTCATAAAATTTTGAGTACTTCTGGCTTTTAATGTCAATAGGAAGTCAATAGAAAATTTAAGCAGAAAGAAGAAATGATCTAATTTATAAATAGGCTCAATCTAGTGTTGACATACAGAGTGGAGAGCAAACAGCAGCAGGAAGAGTGGTTGCTTAGATCAAAGTATTTGATCTCTGTCTCTCTTTACATATATATATAAAACATATACATACAACACATACATACATACGAATAATGACAAATTCAACCGTATGTTTATAGGATATGAGGAAAGTAAGAGACCCTGCCAAGATTTCTGGCCTCTGAAACTAGAAAAATAAAGATCCCCTATTTTGGTTCACAGGTCTTTGGAGTACATAGTAGTTTTAATTAAACTTACTATTTGGAAATAACACAATATGTGTTAATATGTTAGTTACAACATTGATAAAAATAAGTCATCTATACATTGCTTCCCCACCAAAATATATATATGTAAGTTAACAGTAGCAAATAAAATGAAACCCTGGAGCTTTAATTTATATTGTACTTTTACCAAAAGAATGAAATCTGCTAAAAAGACAATGAACAAAAGGTACATAAGTAGTAAAATTCATTAATTCCAGTAACATTTACTGAATGCCTATCAAGTGCAGGGCAGAGTAAAACCTTAAGAGTAAGAAAAGAAACAGATTCACCATAAGAAACTTATGTTCATCTAGCCTTAAACAAACAAGTAGGCAAAACATTACAAAAAGGGTGCTCTAAGTGAAGTTTAGAGAAGGTGATGGTGACAGCAGAAAAAAAACTAGAGCCTAGCTGAAGAGGTTCATGGAGGTGAGGGTTCACTGAGAGGTTTACATGATTACTTACAATTTCCCCAAATATTCAGCATTCCCCCCTCCTTTTTGGTACTGAGGTTTGAGCCCAGGATTCATATACTCTAGGAAAGCAGTCCGCTGTTGAGCTGTATCCCTAGCCCTTTTTATTTTGAGACAGGGTCTTAGTATTGACCAGGCTGGCCCAAGTTTGCAATGCTCAGCCTCCTGACTAGCTGAAATTACAGGCATGTGCCAACCTGCACACAGCTTCAGTATTTCTTTAAAATGTATACTTAATGTTTCATAACCTATTGTACATATATTGTACATAAATTATTACATCCTATAATAAAATTTGGGAAAAGGTTTGCTTATATGTTTAATAGCCACAGAAAAGAAATGTGTCATCTAAGAAGTTTTCCACAGCATTCTGGGTTTCAATTAGGTTGATGAGGCATGGCTATATCCATCAGCCTAAATGGCAGTAACTTCAAGACTACTGTAGTATGAAAGAAGAGACAGCAACTGGCAGAAGCCAAAGATAAAGGCCAAGAGCATCTCCATATTCTTCACCTGTGCTCCAAACAAGTCAGAGCTAAAATGATGGCAGGGCTGCCCAGCTCTACTAGAGAACTCCCTTAGCGCTGATGTGAACTTCTGCTTTACATGAGGACCAAAGAAATCTGGATGGGTTGCATATATATGCAGTCCTAGAAATTATTCCTTCGTGGAAAATGAAGAGCCGTTCTAAGTCCAAAAATTTAAATAACATTATCTTTTAATTTGTAATACAAAGTTAAGGTGTATTATCACATATTCATTCCACTATATAGCTCTGGGAAGGTCGATCGCTCTATCTACCTTACAATAAACCAGGGACCCCACTTCAGACCAGTTCTGAGATGGGACCTTCAACTGCTTTACAAAAATTTAAAGACAACTTCGGTGTTCCCTTTCCCTAATTTCACACATCAGTCAGAAGAAGGGATAAAAAGTGGTACTGTACCAGACATGGTGCCAGACATTTCAGGGAAAGAGATCTCCTTTAGCATCAGAAGCAGCTTTGTCCCTATGCTGGCTCCTCGGTTTTATCTACCAGGTATGATATTTCATATTATATATGTTCCAAAGAAATGATGAAAAGAGCACAAAAGCACAGTGTGCTAAAAAGTTAATGCTTTGGGGTCAGATAAATGAGTTTAATTTAGCTGTCTCTGACAAGCCTCTTAACTGTAAGATTAACTCTAAACATTAAATGTGTGAATGAACTTTTATTTACATATTTAAGGGATATATACTCTTTTCCTTTCTCTTTCTAAGGCACAAGAGCATTTTCTTTAAAAAGAAGGAAAAAAGAAAAAAAGCTGGTCAAATAAAGTTAAAACAGTACCATAGTTTGAAGAAGAGTACAGAAGAATTCATAGAAATTTTATTCTTTCTCTATAAAGCAACAGGAATTATTATTCCCAAAAAGGTCTCTAAATATAGCGTAGCCTAGGAAGATGAATACTTAATTACTACTTTATTTGTTGGTTTGGATGGGTGGTGGTGGTGCTAAGTCCCTAAATTGCCTAGACTGAACTCAAAACTTGTAGTCTTGCTTCCACCTGCAAGAGTGTGCTGGGATTACACGTGCCACCACATCTAGCCTTTCATTTTGGTTTGTTGTTTTGATGTTTTGGAACAGTCTTGTGCTATGTATTTCAGTCTGGTGTTGAACTTCCACTCCTCCTGCCTTAGCCTCCTGAGTACAGGGATACAGGTGTGAGCTACCATGCTCAGGAAATACCTAATTTCTAAGAAAACAGAAACTGTTGTCTGGATCCTGAGTCAGCTACCAGTAGTCCTCATATACTTCTTTTTGGAAATACACCATTTTAGGAACAGTTAATGTTAACAAACAACAAATGGAAGCCTTCAAAAGAAAAAAAGGCCTACACTTCTTCCAATCTTCCAAATTTTTAACTCAACAACCGATCATCAAACCTAGACTCACCTCAAGAAAGGACTTCATCAATCCAGGCAATTCTGGCAAATCTTGGAGTAGAATGAAAAATGGGAATCCCAAACCAGTCTACTAAAAAAGGGGGTAGAATCCAGCCATTTCAATAACTCATTATGTTTTCACATAAAGTAACTACCAACTATAACAACAGTTCTGAAGCCAGATACTCAAATTTCAGCTCTGCACTCAGATATATGTGCCCACACAGATTACGTGAACTCTTTGACCCTCCATTTATCTTTAAAATTGTACATAACAAGCTATGAGTTCAAGGCCAGCCTTGATTACATGCGCAGTGAAACCCTATCTCCAAAAAAATATAAAGAGAAAAAAGAAAATGCTCACAGGTTTCTATTGCTATAGTACACATAAAAACCAAACATGTTAATACTGGCAGAAATTCCATGGGTTAATAGAAGTTGAAGACTCTCCCCTTCAGAATTTGTGTCCACCCAGAAGCTTTAGATGTGACATTTGGAAGGGTTTCTGCAGACATAATAAAGTTAAGATGAGCCCTTTAGTGTAGGCTCTATCTATAATATGAATAGTGTATATCTGTTCTGTATTTTGAGGCAGGGTCTTGCTCTGTAATTCCAGCTGGCCTTAAACTCACCATATAGCCCAAGCTGGCCTTGAACTCATGGCAAGCCTTCTGCCTCAACTTCAGTGCTGGGATTGCAGGTGTGTGCCACCACACCCAACAACTAGTATATTTTTAAGAAGGAAATTTGGACACAGATATCCAGATAAAATTAATACCCATGTAAAGATAGAGGCAAGAAATGGAGTGATGCTTGTACAGGTCAAAAATTGCCAGAAACCACCAGAAGTTAGGAAAAGCCCAACAAAGATTCTTCCCTAAAATCTTGAGAGGGAGCATGAGCCTGCCAATACCCTGATTTTATACTTCTGGTCTCAAGAATTGTTGAGAGAATAAATTTTTGTTATTTTAAGCCATCTAGTTTATAGTATTTTCTTAAAGCAGCCTAGAAAACTAGTATATTTGTTGAAACAG